TTTTACTAAAGATTTCCGTGGAGGGGAGCAATTAAAGGAGTCTCGATAATAATTTTTTAAACAAGCCTGTCATACCAGACGGGCCTAAGATAAACTGTGAGGATCACTTGAATTAGTAATCAAAGATACCTGATGATAGCACATTTAACCTATTTATCTACGTGGAAATCGTTATATGATGTTAGGGATATACATAAGTAAATAGTGTATTTGTATATTAGTTTTTATTTCTCATAAAATGTAAAGTACATCATTTTATTGAAATTTTCTGATTTGTATATATGATGCTATCATATTAAATTCAAATTTAAAATAAGANCTGTGAGGATCACTTGAATTAGTAATCAAAGATACCTGATGATATCACATTTAACTTATTTATCTACGTGGAAATCGTTATATGATGTTATGGATATACATAAGTAAATGGTGTAATTGTATACTAGTTTTATTTCTCAAAAAATGTAAAGTACATCATTTTATTGAAATTTTCTGATTTGTATATATGATGCTATCATATTAAATTCAAATTTAAAATAAGAATTTGTTTAATTTTCTAAAAAAATGTATAAACAATTACTCCACTTCACCCTAATTACTAATTCGGTATCATTAAATTAATCCGAAAAAATTATTTTCTGTATTAATATTGGCCCTCTACTAGATAGTATAGATGCAATTTTTTTACTAAATAAGGCGCGCTGTTGATTTTTTGCTCAAATTTTGCCTTAAAATCAAAGTGAAGCGCAAATTAATAAAAAAAAGTCTTAAAAAATAATTATGTTTCTTAAAATAAGGACTGAAACAGTACAGGGACGCTTAAGATACATTTCTTAAAGTAATATTTAATTATTCTTTATAGAAAAATTATTTAAAATTCATATGTTACATGTAACTTATGAATTGAAATAATTAATTAAAAAAAAGTGAAGTTCTATGTATCAGAAATAAACTTTTAAAGCATCGTTATAATATAATAAGTAATTATTATTCATATACAACAAAAATTAAAGAAAGAATAACCTTACACTATTATACTACTTGTAGTCTAATTAGATTTTGGCATTAAGCCTATAGTAGTCAAACAACGGAGACAGTTTGATAACAAAGTATTTTTTCAAATTAGTTGCTTAAATAATGTTTCGGTCAGTTAAAAGAAAACAGAGTACTGTAGCATATTTCTAACTCCATTTTCTAAAAATAATTTAAGAATTAAACAACAAAACAAAACATTATTAAAACAATATAAATGTTGAGTCATTTAGAAATATATTACAATCTAAAAAATGAATAGGGACAAAATAATTTATATTTCATAGGATGGAATGATGTAACATTTGTCAAAGTGACTCTAAAACAAATTTTCTTGAAATTTAGCTAAAAGCTTAGTTTAAACTAAGTCACAAAGTCTGATATAAAGAATTAAAACTATTTTTATTAACTTAAAGATTTTCATCTTAATTATTATAAAACCTTATAAACTACGCTTAAAAAAATTTAATTATAAAATACTCTGAGGTAATACACAAAAAAAAAATTGATTTATACTAAAAAAATACTCAGATTAAAAATATTATTTTAATTATTAATCAATTATAATAAAATTATCTTATCGACAAATAATGTTGATTTATTAGTCTATGCATAATAAAAAGTAGACAGACAAATTCTTTTCTTAATAAATTAGAAATTGTCATAAAATCATTTATCAAAAATTATAAGTATTAAACAACGTCAAAAGTCAATTACTATTTTTCATATAAAACTCTATCAGTATACTATTTTCAAAGTATTGACCTGACTTGTAGCTAATAAATTATTCATGAGTGTCATACTTTGATCTCAGGCAAGGAACGACTAAATACCCTTGTTATGGAACACCGTCAAACTAATTTAAATAAGGTAAATAAAAAATTTATATATTTTCAAAAGTAAGAGTAATTAGCAAAATAATGGAAAAAATATATAAATTAGTTGACTAATACCAAAATATTACTCAAATATTTTAACACTAAATTTATTTTACAAAGGTATAGTCTCTTGTAAAATAAATGCATTAGTACATTATATTATTTATAATATATATTATTTAACGTCGCCTTAACGAGAATATATTCGCCATCGTGCAAAAAATGGCTAAATTATTTTATTTATGATTTGATACGCTTTAAAAGTTAAATAAATTAAAACTAAAAATATTAAAATATATTTAAATAGAACATTTTTAATAATTTAAAGTGTTTTTCCACCTTAAATTATTATATGAAAAATACAAATGTATACATTTGTACTTAGCCACTTTTTGAATCACGATGATGATATGTTAAAATGTCTCAAATAACTGTAAGCATAATTTACAACGTATCTATTAACAAATCAAACAATGCAGTGAAATTTGTTTTTAGTTGCACAACTAAAAACTCTAGAAAACAATTAATAGTTTTAATTATCAATTCGATTTATTACTAATTAAAGGCTTTATTCCTGTACATAAATAAACCTATCTACAATCTACAACAAACAACGTCTTTAAATGAATGTAAGATAAATATGCACAATTCCAATCTTTTGTTTATAAATCTAACGTTCCTTCTCATTACTAAAGATTAAAAAAAATAAAGTATCGTTTAGTAATTACTTCATGATTATCAATGTATTGTTTACCGAAAGAACAAAAAGCAATGAAAAACAATCACATCATAAATATTAGTATTGGTTTTAAATAATAGAAGATAATTTACGTATCCAATATTGTTCATCTATCGGATTATGTGAATAGAAATTTTAACTTATTATTAACTTTTTTGTTATTTATTGTATCCATAGAAATTTATAATAAATATAATATAATGTAATAAATAATTTTTAATTTATTTTATATACAAATAAATAATAAATGTAGAGAATATTAAAATATTGAATTTAAACTATTAAATTTTATTTAAATTCTAATACAATAATTCAATAAACGATTTGTTTTTATTTACATATTATTAATAAAAATTAGTAACCTTTTATAAGTAGTGATTTTGTATTTAAAATGTTGTTTTAATGTGGTTAGCTAATGGGATGGTTTAGTTTTTATAGTTCTTTCTGTATACGCCCTTGTGAATGATAATACCGAAAACATTAAGGTTTAATATTATTATTTAATAAGGGTGTATAAATCTTGAACTCTAGAGAATGTCAAGTATAAAAATAGTAAATAATTCTCATATCTAGTTATTTGAAAATATTTATTTATAATTAAAAATATGCACACAAACCCGTAACTGTACTAGTTTTGAATGCTTAGACCCATAAATTATTTAAGACTTATTTGAATCATGCAATTTAATATAATATTTAATACTATGTATATAATATATATAAATATCGATGATTGAAATCAGTTGACTAAAAGACCTTCGTTCAAAAAATTTAATGTTATTCATTTTTCACGTATAGTTACATAGTGCAATGCCCTCCAAAAAAGTCTTTAATCTAAATATTTAAATACTTATTATAAAAATAAATAGCCGTGAGACACATAAGTAGTTATTAACCTTACGCTTAAAAAATTATTAAATATGTGAGCAAGTACATACAAAATAGTTTCAGATTTTGGTACTAATTCTCTATTTTCATTTAATTTAACCCTAAGGCGAAAGTGTTAAACATTAAGTTCAATAGGCGGTTAACAAATAAAATATAATCTATTTATATTATATTTAAACAACCAATCAATAGCTAATAAATGTCTAAGGTTCATTATTCATAGTAAACACACTTAAAATAAAAGTTGCTGGAAAAACTGTTTACTAAACGAACAAGCTCAATAGTTTATTAGAGAATATTTTGAATTAAATTTCCGATTTTTAGCTGAATAAAGCCATAAGAAATATAATAATTAACCATAGCTTAGCAACAAATATATTGTCAAACATAATCTATTTATGGTTTAATACGTGACAAATTGTCATTGACAATATATGGAGCATTCTGCAACAATCAGAAATCCTTCTTTATTTTTTTTAATTTTACAATTTTAAAATACATTTAAAATATATTTTCAATATACATAAATAATTATTTTCTAAAAAAGTATAAACCTTCATTTTCAAAACCAATTTTTTTTTGTATATTGAAATTATTGTTATTATACTTTAAGATTATAAAACATAAAAAAAATTCAAACAAAAAAAGGAGATTACTGACTCTGCTGTACAACGCCTTATATTATGGTATGACTTAAGATTTGTATAATTAAAATCCAATAATTAAAACAAAACGTGTAAAATAATGGAATAAAAAACACGAAACCAGTATCTGTTTAAAACTCTTGGCATGAACTAGCTGCAGTATTTTTTCAATTTATACATATATGTAAATCGCCCAATATGATAAATTGTATAAATAACGTAAATTCAGATCTTTCAAACGCCTCTATTTATGTTAAAGTTTCATTACTTATTTTGCTGTATTAACTCAGTATATGTCATCAAATACTACCATTTAGCTACCTTTAGTTTTAACGCAGTACAAAATATAGATTAAAAACAATTTTTTACTAGTTTAATATTTTAAACTTGCATCGTTCCTGAAATAAATAGTTTTATTTTCTTTTTGAAATATATTTAGTTATTACTTATACGCTACTTAATCATTCATCAAAGTCAAGTTTTTTTCAATTGCTTAGTTAAAGTTAAGACTTGCATATTAATTTTTTTGTATAAATATAATAATAAATTGTAATTATTTATATAATCATTAATAATTTAAAAGATTATTAAATCAAAAGAGTTGGAATGGCGAACTTGCATAAATAATTTTAAAACGCATAATTTTTGTTCAAAAAATGTTAATTAATATTTTGAATGAAAACTTCTATAATTAATAAAATTAACACTAACATGACACTCTGACCTCGAGTGCTCCGAATGCTGATATTGTATATCAGACAGCTGTTTCCAACCGGCTCATTTTGATAATATTTGATTAGCTGGTTATCACTTCAACAAAATTTATTGAAAGTAATATTTATATAAAATATTAATTTTTTCGATGATTTGGAAATTAAACATGTTTTTTACTCGAGTCGTATTTTAAAGTAAATTATTATTTTAGAATTAGAATATTTTTTGTTGTTATGCTTGCATTTGGTCTATTAAGACGTAATAATTGCGTTCAATGGTGTAATGCTTCGAGGATAATATTTCATAAATCAACATCATCAAAATATAAAAATACAAGGTACACTGTAGTTTTTAACTCTTTTTATATAAAATTATATTTGTATCATTACGTAGGTTTTTTCAAAATTCATCTTTAAAACAAACATCATATAAAATGGAAAAAAAGAAAAATCGTTTAGCCTTAGAAAAATCACCTTATCTTTTACAACATGCTGAAAATCCTGTTGAATGGTAATTTATACATCCATTGTTTTTCCAATCTTAGTAAATTTGATATAATACAAATTTTTTTCTGGCCTACAAATATTAAATAGATAAAGGCACATTTGTTTTTAAATTATTAAGATAATTTAATAATTATCATTATTTTTTTATAGGTATTCTTGGAGTGATGAAGCTTTTAAAAAAGCTCAGGAAGAAAAAAAACTGATTTTTCTTTCAGTTGGGTACTCGACATGTCATTGGTGTCATGTTATGGAACATGAATCTTTTGAAAATAATGAAGTAGCAGCAATTATGAATGAACATTTTATTAATATAAAAGTTGACCGTGAAGAGCGTCCTGATGTTGATCAATTATACATGACATTTGTTCAGGTAATATTGATATAACTATTCAATAACTTCCCTTACTACTGCCACTAAACAATTTGTTGACATTTAAACTGTTTATAAGATTATATTGAAGAAAATCATTAAAAAAATAAAAAAAAAAAACACATCATAGTAAAATTAATACCTTCTCAGTTTTGCATCGAAGCTAAAATTCAATTTTTTCAGTGTACTCTTCAATATAAATTTCTTTTATTAAAATTTTCTATGTTTTACTTATCTTTGAAAATTTTAGGCAGCCTCTGGTTCAGGAGGATGGCCTATGAGTGTATTTTTAACACCAGACTTAAAACCAATTGGTGGTGGAACTTATTATCCACCAGAAGATTCATACGGCCGTCCAGGATTTAAAAGTGTTCTTTTGCACATGGCAAAAAAAGTAAACTTAATTCAACTTAGAAGTTTTTATTTAATAATGATATCTGTTATTGATAGTGGTCACATGATTCTGCTGAAATGTTAGAAAATAGTGGAAAACTTATAAAAATACTTTATGAAACAACAACATTTGATATCAATGTCCCGCTTGAGCTTCTAAAACCTAACCCAAGATCTTGGGTAACATGTTTTTCACAACTACAGAGGATTTATGATGATGAATGGGGTGGCTTTGGTATGGCTCCAAAGTTCCCACAACCATCAATATTGGACTTTTTGCTTCATATTTCATGTAAAAAAAAAGCTACAGAAAGTGCTGAAAGTCTTATCATGGCATTAGAAACTTTAAAAAAAATGGCTATGGGTGGTATTCATGATCATATAGGCCAAGTAAGTTAATATTTCATGAGAAAAATGTTTTTTATTCAAGTTGTACTACAAAACATTTTGCTTTTATAAGGGATTTGCTCGATACTCAACGGATGAAAAATGGCATGTACCACATTTTGAAAAAATGTTGTATGATCAAGCACAATTAGCATCATCATATACTACAGCTTATTTAATTACAAAAAATAAACTATATTCTAACATAGTTCATGATATTTTACAGTATGTCAGTAGAGATTTAAGTCATAAGGTATATATATTATTTAATAGATTATGAAAAAATTATTATTAGATTTCTTTTATAGGATGGAGGATTTTATAGTGCTGAAGATGCTGACTCTTTACCAAATATTAACTCAGATAAAAAGAAAGAAGGTGCCTTTTATACTTGGACACAGCAAGACATAATAAAACTCTTAGATAAACCATTAACTAACAAATCAGATGTGAAGCTTTCTGATTTATTTTGTTGGCATTTTAGTGTTTTACCCAATGGCAATGTAAGACCAGATTCCGTAAGTAAATATTTTTGTCTTACATGTGACACTTATTACTTATTGTTTGTAAATTTTATACAATTTTCCATTAGCCATGAATGGCTACTTTAAACTTAAAAGTTATTAAATTACTAATGTTCATATTTTTACTACTAGGATCCTCATGGTGAGCTTTTGGATCAAAATGTTTTAATAGAATTTAGAAGTATTGAAAATACAGCCAAAAAATTTAATTTGACTGTTGAAACAGTAGAAAATGAATTAAAAATTGCAAAAAAAGTTTTATTTGAAGCTCGAAATAAAAGACCACGGCCTCATCTTGATAATAAAATTATAACCTCTTGGAATGGTAATAAACAAATGTTACTTTAATCTATACACAATATCGTACTTCTATTTATTTTACTTTCAAATACAAATTCAAATTATTATTAAAAATATATTTTTAGGATTAATGATTACTGCATATGCTAGAGCAGCAACAGCATTTAAGTGTGAAGAGTATAAACAAAAAGCTATTCAATGTGCTAATTTTATCAAGTTTCATATGTGGGATGAGAGTACAAATGTACTTTTACGTTCTTGTTATGTAAACGAATTAGGAGAGATAAATAATCTGTATGTTTTTTAATAGTAAATTTTGCTAAAATTAAAAATAAATTTGTATTTTTTATATTATTCTAGTGAACAACCTATAACAGGTTTTTTAAATGACTATGCTTTTCTCATACGTGGTTTATTAGATTTATATGAATGTACTTTACAATCTGAATGGTTATCATGGGCTAATAATTTGCAAGAACAACAAGATAAACTATTTTGGGATAAAGATAAATTTGGATACTTTTCTTCTACTGATAAAGATCCGAGTATAATTTTGAGATTCAAAAGTGGTATGTCAAGTTTAAATTGAAAAAATTGTATTGTTCTGTTTGTTAAATAATTTAAATAGTATATAAAATATAAATTTATGTGATTTAAACACGAAATAAACAAATGATTTATAGATCATGATGGAGCTGAGCCGTGTGGTAATTCAATATCTGCCTTAAATCTTCAGAAATTATCAATTATTACTGATAATCCTGAATATACAAAAAATCTAAATTTATTATTCAATTCATTCACTGGACGCCTTTCAAACAATGCTGGTTCATTACCAACATTAGTGTCTGCTCTTACATTACATAGTGATTCAATAACATCAGTATGTTAATAATCTCTAAATAAGTAATGAATTTAGAAAATTGCTTAATTTTTGTTTTAGGTATATTTTACAGGAAATATTGATGATCCTGATATAGATCCATTGTTGTCAATAACTAGGGAAAATTATATACCTGGACTTACAGTTGCATTAGCAGAAGAATCATCAATTTCAACCCTAGCCAAAGGTTTAGCAGAATCACAAAAAGGTAAAGTGTCCGCATATGTTTGCAAAAACAATGTATGTAACTTACCTGTCTACACACCAGAAGAATTAAAATCTTTATTAAGCAATTGAAACAAAAAATAATCAGTTTTATTTATGTGTTTTAATATTAAAAATTGTTTAATTTTAATTATTGTTATTCATAACTTTTTTAGGATTAAAATATTTACTTAAAAAAAACAAAATATTTTCAGTGAATAATTTATAAAAATTGGTTATTTTAAAAATGGTACTTTGTGATTCTCTTAGGAGCTGTTATTAACTTTAATATACTAAATATTGTTATATATATTTTTTTTGTTAGAATTATTTTCAGAATTTTTTAAACTTTTCTTACAAGATGATTATATTAAGCTATTTTATTTACTTTAAAAGATAAGAAAGTCAAATACTAATGAATTTTCTACCTATTGATATGAACATGAAAAAAGTATTGTTAATAAAAAAAAGATTTAAAATAAAAAAAACTATATTTGTCTTCTATTACAATACAAAAAGCTAGTAACAATTTTTTCAGTAATTACAGATATAGTTAAAATATAAATGGAAATGCAATTAAACATAATCATCCAAGACATACAATTATTTATGTCTAGTCACCTAAAATAAGCAATTCCATTAACCTTTGTCATAACAAATAGTTTACAAATAAAGTTACACTACAGTTTTTTTCCATAAAAATAAATTATGGTAATTACATTTAAAAAAAATAATAAAAAACTGGAACATAAATTACATGGAGAATAAGAAATGCAACAGTACGACTTATATTTATTCTATAATACAATGCTATCCAACATTATTGCATATCAAATAAGGTGGGGTACAATCTAATATATCTTTTATTCAAAATAAACGATATTGTAATATTTTTATTTTTAACTTAAGAAAAGCATTATGATTAAAATTTAAGAAATATAAAAGTTATAAAAAGAAAATTAATGAGTTATAATGAAAATACAATATCAACTCAGGTCTTATGCGCGTACTTGGAAAAATTCGAAATAAAATACTATCACATGTAGAAAAGGTATGACAAGGGAAATGGTTCTTTTGTTTTGTTTATCAAGTTTCAAACAAAGGCAATGAAAGAAAAAAAACATAAAAGCTGACATAAATTCTAACTGAAGATAGTGCTGTTAGACAGAAAATAAATAACATCCACAATAACTTTAATTAAAAATGATCATGTGGATTAGTGTAACAATATACATGACTATACAAAATCTAAAATAAATTAGTTTGACCAATGTATCTTAGAAAGATTAAGCATTGTTCGTTTTAGTTGTTTACACTTTTTTAGAGTGAACAATATCACACATTTTGGTTACCCTTGTCATATTTAAACCTTCCTATTACATATATTAAACATATATGCAAAAAAACACATTATTATCTATTTACAATAGGTAAATTATTAAATGACTACTAGGTAATATTTCTCGCCACAAGAAATTGTTTTCATATGCAATTTATCCAGTTATGTATTGTGACCGTGAATGTCTTGATGGACCTGGTCGAGGATTATACTTTTTAGGTGTCCACTTGATAGCATTTGCATCAATAATGAACCTTGGTCTTTTGTACTGTTCAGAACTTACAAGTTGTTCAACGTTTTTGGGTGTTACACAAATCACATGTTGACCCTTCCAGTACTTAACCATGTTCATCGACTGTAATGTAGATATGATATCCGTCTGTGTTATACTAGTCATTGCACTAAAAAGTTAAGTATAACTTTAGTTTAAAAATATTGCTGCTATTTTAATACATAATAACTTCAAAAAACTAGCTTTACCTTAAATCTTTAATAGACAATGAGCCACATGCATTCTTAAGGATTTCTAATAATACCCATGACCAGTAGGATCGATAAGACAGTTTACCAAGATCACTCAATGGTTTTTCTGGACTAGCTACCAGTCCTTCCAACTTGCTTAGCTCATAGCTAAAAGCTATTAATAATTTACCATAACCTTGTCGCTGAAAAGGAGGCATTGTCAAAATACAAGCTACATTATTACAGTCAGGTGAATCTTTTTCCTGGAAGTATGAAAATTCATTGTAGAATGAAGAGACACTCAAAATTAACAAAGGAATAAAGAATATTTACTTACTTTTGAAAAATATCCTACTAAATGGGCCCCAACCTTGTCTACTTCACATAGAACATAGAACAAGAATGGCTCCACATCAAAATAAAGAGTTTTATGATCTAGAAATAGTTTTGAAAGTAAACATAGATTTTGACAGTACATTTTATGATGACTGGAATTCACTTCCCAAATTGAAAGTGAACCCTTATGGTAAACTTCAACACCAGGCGGTTGTCTCCAAGTACATTGACTCTGCCGAAAAAAAAAAAATTTGAATAGGTACTACCAATTACATTAGTTAAGAATTAATCACAAAATTTAAGCTTACCATGTGATATTTAAAAGATTTTTCCAGTTTACTGTACTTAAGACAATATTCACAAATCCAAATTTTAGATTCTTTTTGATACTCAGCTGGAAATGGACTGAAATACCATGTATCAATTTCATATTTCCCCAATTGCACTTTGTTGATATATTTAATTTTTGTTATAGCCTCATGCTCTTTTTCTAAAGCAGCTGTTGTTGGGTCCATGTCAGCATATGACTAGTTAATAAAATAAAAATAAATATCTTCAATGAAGCATTTTATATGCAACAAATATATATGTACATACCATTTGAACATGATTAATTTCATCATGTCGCCTCTTCTGATTTCTTGTAATTTTTCTATCTGACTGGTTTAAAAGATCTGGTATTTTATTTACATCTTTTTGTCTCCAAGTTTTTTCGGATATATCAAACCTAGAGTTCATAATCCTGGAAATATTTAAAATATAATATTATCTAAGTTCCTAAAAATATTTATTCATCATACCTATCTCTTCGTACCCATTGGTCTAATCTTCGGTTATATCCTTCAAAATGTACATAATACTCAAAATGATGTTCTTGATCATTAAATCTTGTATGTAAAATTTCAGCAGGATCTTTAAAAATAGAATAAAATAATATTATAAAATTAATTTTAAATATTTCAAAATTATTCATATTAAAAATAATCTATGAAATCTTATTCAAGCTCAGAGTAATATAATCATCAAAACTTCACTAACATTTATTTCTATTCTTAATGATCTTCCATCACACCAATACTCTAAAGAAACCCAACTCTAAAAACTACACGAATTATTTGAATCATAGAAACAAGAAACAACAGATATATCTATAACGAGTCATCATGAATGAAACATAATTTTTGTAATCTCAAAAAAAAA